CCCGACAAAAGCAGGGAGAGTAAACAGAAACTGACAGACAGACACAGAGACAGAGAGAGAAACAGGCATACGGAAAGAAGACAAACAGAAATAAACACACACAGAGACATTGGGGTTTTGGGGGTGGGTGGGGTGGCGGGAGATGTGTTCGAGAGTTGTGTACAAGCTGACCAGCCATAGCACTCACCTTAATCACTTGTTCTTTCTCCTCGAGATCTTTCTTCTCTACAGCCAGCTGTTTGTTTAATGTGTCATGCTGGAGAAAAAGGAAAGGCGTTTATTTGTTTGGTAACGTGAAGGGTAGCACATAAACACAGTAACGGTCATTTAGTTATTTTTTAGTACGAGTGTTATGGCAATATGCTCATATAAATGCCGAAGATTAGAAACATTAAATGAGAGAAACAAACACGAAAAAGGAGGGTTTAGCTTAGTTAAAGTTTTACCGTGCTCGCAACTGCATAAGGTCAAAGAGGTAGGGGATAGAAGGACCTTGGATGTTTGATAAGAAGGAGCAAACCACACCAGAGCACCCACTAACCACCCACAAAAAAGTAAAACAGACAGAAAAAATCGAAGAAAAGATAAGAAATAAAGGGGGTATGACACATTCATTTAAAACAGGCAGTTGTCCATCCTGCTTGTGATAAGAAAATAATACATGACGCAATCATGGTAAAAAGCTGTTTTGTTAATTTTTATACACTGGTTCTGAATTAAAAATTTTTACAATAGATTTAACAGCAAAGAGCCTAAAAGCTACACCATAGACACCATTACCATTGAGAAGAAGTAGAAGAGGCAGAACAGGCAGAAGTCTATACAAGTTCCAGAACATAATAGCTGTAGACACACATAGGGAGTTCAGTTTTAGTAAGAGTTTCACAGCACTTGCAATATAAATAGGTTATATACAAGTGCCGAAGATAAGAGGAGCTTTACAAATTAAGAATGAGGAGCACAGATAAGGACGACAGACATTTGATAGGAAAGAAGAAACAAACCAAACAAGAGCATTCGCCAACCATCCACATACGAGGGGACATTACTCACGTTCCGTAAGAGAGTCACATGTTCCTCTCGGAGTTTGCCGTAAATGTCCTTCATTTTCTGAAACTTCTCTTGGTTGGCTTTGGCGTGTTCTGGAAAAATTAGGGAAAAAAAGACAATAAAAGTCCTGAAAGCTGATCGACCACCCATATTTGCTTCTTTGCTTAAGAGTCAGTCTTGTTTTTTGTTTTTGAGTAAATAGAAGCACATCATTCAAAATGACACTGAAAGGGTTGACTGATTCTTTCCATTAGGGCTTTCATGCAATCTTTGTGTAATTTTTTGGTGCTTTTTGAAGCTTCAAAAGTTAATTCTTTATTAAGATAAGATAATTCTTTATTGTCTAGATCCTGGTACATTGGTTTGATGTTTCACCATGTACACTCACACACACACACACACACACACACACACACACACACACACACACACACACACACACACACACACACACACACACAGACTAACTCAAACACACATATACACACACACACACACATACGCAGACTATCTCACACAAGCACACACACACACACACACACACACACACACACACACACACACACACACACACACACACACACAAATTTAACAGAGTTATTCAAGGTGACAACATATAACAAATCCAAACATTTCCACTACTCAGAGTAAGACTTTAGTTTTAGCTAGAGTTTTACAGCACTTACAACACAAAAAAGTCAAATAAGTGCCGAAGATTAGAGGTGTTACAAGACAAGAGAGTAACAAACACAAAAAAAGATGGAGGGGAGATATTGACGACAGATGTTTGAAAGGAAAGAAGGAGCAAACCACACCAAAACACCCGCCAACCAGTGTAAGATCTTTTTTAAAAATTTATTTTTAAGTGGAGGTCTTACGGCGCTCGCAACTGCATAAGGTCATATGAGCGCCAGAAGATTAGAGGTGTTACAAGGGAGTAACAAACATAAAAAAGAAGGAGGGGAGATATTGACGACAGATGTTTGATAGGAAAGAAGGAGCAAACCACACCAGAGCACCCGCCAACAAGTGTAAGACTGTTTTACTTTGCTTTTCGAAAATGGCATATGGCAGAGTCTTACACTAATGAGCTGTCAATTTTTCTGTGTAGATGACCAGAGAAGAAAACAAAGAAATCCACAAGCTACTCACTCTCAGCCTCTGGTAGTTTGGAAGCCGCAGCAGCGTCAAACTTGAGCTGGTCGATGTCTTTCTTTAGACTCTCGTTCTCCTGATGGTGTGGAGGTGGAGATGGTAATAGTCATAGTGATGGTGGTAGATGTGTTTACATGGTGGTAGTGATGTTGAAGTGGTGAAGGTGTTGAGGTGGAGGTGGTGTTGAAGTGGTGAGGTAATGGTGGTAGTGTCCATGGTAGATATATTGAAGTAGTGGTAGTGGGTGGGGGGGGGGTCAGTAGAGGGGGAATTTTTAAAAAAAGGAAAAAAAATCTTGAGGCGACAGAAGATGCATAATAGATTTATAGCTCATTCACTCTCGTCTGACCGCAGTTAAAATGGGATAAAAACAAAACGCTCTGTTTAATCTTTCTGGGTCTTTGCATGCTGGATCTAAAAGTTCAGCGACCAACAGAATCTAAAAGCCCATTCATAAAAGTCACGGTAAACTAAGGTTCCGACACGTTTTCTTAGATGTAAGCCTAAAGCGGGTAAAAAAAATAATAGGGGATTTACAGCATACACCTAAAACATTTTTAAGTTTAACGTTCTCCTAAAAAACATGATTCAAGAGACGGTGTAAGTAATTTTCGAGACTCACACGGAGCACGTGGAGACATCTAGACAGCCCGTGGATGAAATCGACAAGCTTACACTGAAATGTGGGGGGGCAGGGCGGTGTCTCTGTCTCAAAATCAGCAATTTGTAGGCAAGGTTACAGTAAGTCATTTATTTTAGAGATCCTGTTTATGCATCCAAAGAGCGGCTTTTAATATAGGGCTCAAAGAGAAAAACTTTTTCATTATTGGGTCAAAATTTTGTTAAAAATTGTTTGGTCGCTGGCCAGCAGAAGTGCCATGCAAAGTTTTGTGGGCATAGGTAAATTCCTCAATGAGCGAGAATTTTTTTAATGCGGTCAGACGAAAGTGAACAAGCTACAACGGGCCAACATATGATTTTCAGAACACAGAGGACACACAGGCAAAAGAAATGTCATTTCCTCCAAAGAAGGGTATAAACTGTTGCACAAGGCCCAAAAACGCTAACAGAGTTTACAATCTCTAACTCTGAAAGTTTCTGACAAAGTGTTGCCCCTACATGCTGCAGACACCTCAAAGATATGGCCTGGTCCTCAGCGGTGGCTATCACCATTTAAAAAATAAATGAGATGGGTATTCTTAAAATAATACAATTAAAATATACTTACAGCAGATGGAGTCACTGCTCAAAATAGAAACAACCCAACTAACTAAACCTGCAGGCCATATGAAAAAAAAAAATCTTTCTCTGTGTCTATCTGTTTTTTTCTCTCTCTCTCTCTCTGTCTCTCTCTCCCTTCCTCTCGATGTCGTTCTGTGGCTCTCTTTCTCTTTCCAACATTTACACTCACACCCACTCAGGCACTTTATTCTGATATCATGCTCTGTCACAGCATATCCCCTCCCCCTTCTATTTCCTTCACTCCATATTCACAGCACACCAACAGAGGACAACCCACTAACCTTCAGAGACTTGTTTGCCGAGAGCCTCAACTCCGACAGGATCTTCTCCAACTTGGCGATCTCGTCCTTGAGACCGATGATGACCTTGTGATCCTCCGCACGTACGCGGCCCAGCTCCTCTTTCAGAAGGTGAATCTCACGCTGCAGTCGCTCAATCAGGAAATCTCTGCAACAAAACAAAAGAAGACAAAAAGTCAGAACTCCCAGTGAGTCCACAGTATTCCCCTTTCCCTATCGTGGTTCACATTACAGATGTGAAGTTCAACAAATGGAAATTTCATGGACATAAAGCAAGCCTCAAAAAAACAAAAATAAAATAAAAAATATTTTTTTATATATATAAAAAAACCTAAAAACTAAAATATACACAAAAAAAAGGAACAGCACACCTAACAAAAGTAAGACACTATAAACCTGTTACTCAATGCATACAGGTTTTCCATAAATATATATCCCAAGCACCGTATAAATCACTTTTAAAAACTTTTAGTCGCCCAATTCTTACAGTATGTTTATAAAAAACGCTAATTTTCCCCCTTTCTCCTGCAACCCCAAACTAAACGTTTAGAGAGTTTGAGTTCGAGTAAGTAGAAGCACAGCAACACAACAGTCATTTAGCACAGGGGAAAAAGTAAGACAGACGGACTGAAACAAGAGTGAGAAAAATAAAGAAGGAGGTCTTACCAGCCGCGCCCTCTATCTACTTGCAATGAAAGAAAGAAAGACGAGACTGTTTTCATTTTCTCACCTCTCATCTGGTTCTGGAGGCCGGCTGTTCATCCCATATGCTTCACTTTGGGCTATGGGTTCCTGACAAACAAAGAAAGATTGGTCATGGTAAAAGTGAAGTACAGCCCTTCAAATGGTTTATGTGATTGTGGAATGACACTAACGAAGAGTTTATTCTATTTTACTTTTTCAGTCACTAGTCGCTACTCTAGAATTACAAAGTGGACCCCTTGGCCAGTGTCATTATAATAGAGAAAAAAAAGGCAAAGGGTGGAGTAGTTGTTTGTACAGGTGACTATTACAGCAGGTTCCACTTGTACTTAAATCCTCTTTTCCAAAAACAAAGAAAGTTTATATGTGTCACGAGGTGGTGGAATCAAGCGCTCATCAATTTTTGGGCAAATGGAGTTACTGGTATCATCTTAAAACTCGGTTATTTGTCTATATCTTTCAATGAAAATGATATCCACCTGCTTGAAAAGAAATTGTTGAAATATTTGTGAATGAAGGAAGTAGGGCTAGCCTGGTTTCAGAGGCAAAATTAGTACGAAAATGGCAGCCAAAGTTCTGTGACTTCCATAGCTTGAGAGTCCTTGCAGAGTGAAAATCTACATTTTTTGTGCTTTTAATCAACAATTTTGAAGAAAATCTAAACAGAAATGTGTTTTAAATGGATACTAAAAGTGTTTAGCCAAAAAAATAAAAATTCGATAAAAATTGCCAAACTGATGAAAAATTGCATGTTTGTTCGATTTCATTATTTTGCCTAACAAACTTGCAAACAAACATACAAAGACAGCAAAGACAGACAAACAGACAAAACAAAGCCAGTAGCAGGTCTGACGTCAGGTACAGCCATGGCAAAAAGGTTGTCCACAGAGTCGTTGTTTGCCTCTGGCTCTGGCTCCTTGTTCTTCACCACGAGTAAACAAATGTTTCAAACAAACACACACACACACAGAGACAAAAAAAGCCAGTAGCAGGCCTGACCTCGGGTACAGCCATGTCTATCAGGTTGTCCACAGAGTCATTGTCTGCTTCTGGCTCTGGCTCCTCATCCTTCACCACGGCCGCTGGTTTCACGTGCTTGTTGAAGTCAGACGCGATCAGGAAGTTAGGTGGGTCCTGCCGATTGACGTGCGTTTGTTTGAGTGCACATCAACACAATGATAATTGTCATTTAGTGTTGGAAAAAAAAAGACAGAGGGACAGAAAAAAACCCAGATGAAAAGTAAAGAAGTAGGACCTACTAGTGATGCCCTCCGAACACCCCCAGGCGATTAATTCTTGGTTTAGTTTTAGTAAGAATTTTAGGGCCCTTCCAAAACAAATAGATCACATAAGTGCAGACGATTAAAAGTGTTACTAAAGAGTAACATATACAAAGAAAAGAAGGAGGAGGAGGAATTTGTACTAAGACATGTTTACCACATGAAGTAGTTTGATGCAAACAGATTTTTTAAAAAAGCGGTAGGGCCTTTGAATAAATATTTATCTCCGCACAAAAGACATGGTATGATATGTAAGTTCGAGTTTTGAGTAAAGAGAGGCATATCGACATAATTTTATTGGCTATTTAGTGCAAAGAAAAGGCAAGGAAAGAACAGGCAAAAAACTGAGGGAAAGAAAGACGAAGCACTTATCACCAGCACCCTCACAAACGTTACCCCACCACACCACACACACGTGCACGCACACACACATGTGCACACACACACACGCACACACACACACACACACACACAGACAGACACACACACACACCAAATATGTTCTCCCACCTCCCCACCCCCAATACACAACAAATGTTC